GATTATGGAAGGGGGGTGGGTTGGTAGCGGGGGTTATGGTGGGGCGGTGGAATAAGTCCAAACACTTTTTAAAAAAAAAATATTTATAAGAAGTTATAAATTCTAAAGCACTTTTTAAAGAGATAACGAGATGTGATAACTTTTTTTCAAAATTTATTTGGTTTTAAGTATCCACATCTAAACTTATCCTCCTTTAAGTCTTTTTTTTTTATCAAATAGTTGTTAATAAGTATACATTTTAAAACATTTTCAAATTTTTCTAAAATGTATTCCATAATTACCCTTACCATAAATAGTATATACCTAATTGACAACTTTTATATTTCCAATATCTACATACTAGAATGTGAGACTTTCAAGATTTTTTTTGATACTTGTGTATCATTTGAATTTTGAAATTTCACACACACACACACACACACACACATATATATATGTGTGTGTGTGTGTGTGTGTGTCTATATATATATGTGTGTGTGTGTATATATACACACAGACACACACACATATATAGTAATATCAAATAATAACACGTTCAACAAAAAAATAGTAACATCAAACAGTAACATGCTTAACAAAAAAATAATAACATCAAACAATACTTTAGTTGTCACTCTTTACTAACACTATTTGGGCATTATCAATGGGGCATTATAAGATGTTATTGATTGGACCCCCATTGTCATTATCTTGTATCTCTCTTTGGTGACACTGTTTTCATGACAATTTTTCGAGTCCCTCTTTAGGTGCAACTCTTTGAGTGGACAAATATATATTGTCATCATTTATGGTCAATCTATTGTTGTCACTCTTTACTGACACTACTTGGACATTATCAAGGAAACATTATATGATACCATTGATTAGACCCTCATTGCCATTATCATGTGTTTCTTTTTGGTGACACTGTTTCATGACAATTTTTCGAGTCTCTCTTTAGGTGCAACTCTTTGAGTGGACAAATATATATTATAATCATTTAGGGTCAATCTATTGTTGTCACTCTTTACTGAAACTATTTGGGCACTATCAAGGGGATATTACATGATGTCATTGATTGGACCTCCATTGTCATTATTTCGTGTCTCTCTTTGGTGACACTGTTCGCATGACAATTTCTTGAATCCCTCTTTAGGTGCAACTCTTTGGGTAAACAAATATATATTGTCATCATTTATGGTTAATCTATTGTTGTCACTCTTTACTGACACTACTTGAGCATTATTAAAAGGGCATTACATAATGTGATTGATTGGACCCCCATTGTCGTTATCTAATGTCTCTCTTTGGTGACACTGTTTGCATGATAAGTTTTCGAGTCCCTCTGTAGGTGCAACTCTTTGAGTAAACAAATATATATATATATATATATATATATATATATATATATATATATATATATTACTATATATATACGTAACATATATTTCAAAATTCAAAAGATATACAAATATCAAAAGGAATCTTAAAATTCTCACATTCTAATCTTGAAAATTTCACATTCAATTAGGTATGCAGTATTTATGGTAGGGGTAAAATGGTATTTATGACTTTTTTTTAGTATATGTACTTTTATTCCAATAATTTTAAAAATTATACTTTTATCATATTAAGTTTTTAAGGAGATATCGGCCTCCCTAAGCCCCCTTTTTAAAAAGGCACCCCAAACACCCTTGGAGCCTATTTTTCCTATTAAAGTTGTGGTGCTAATATTAGTCATCGGATAAATTTTAAAATAAAATCTCAACCACGAAAAATAAAAGTTATTTTGTTTATCTTTTGTGATTTAAATTGTATTATATTTTATTATATAGATATATTGTTATATATATGTATCCCGATGTATGGGTATTTAGTTTATTATTATATTTTATAATATTTATAATTCTTTTATTGTTTGATCGGTCCGACCAGTTGACTCAATAATTAAACCAGTAAGTCATTCACCTAATTCTTTGCCGATTCAATGATTGGTCATGTTTTGATAACACTGCTTCTAAATCTTCTTATCATTGCAAAAAGTGGGAGAAATATGAGTTGGGCCCTTATTTTAGTCTAGACCTTTTAAAAATTTCTATAATATTGGGCCCTTTAAATCAAATTTTTTGGGCCAATTTAAATTACATTTAAAGACTATAATTATTTTTTAGGTAATTTAGAAGTCAGTAAAGAAATTTAGATTTATTTGAGCTAAACTACATTAAATAAACTTATTTGACCCTAAGTGCATTTTTTTGAAAAAAGACTAAAAAGTCATTTATTACTTCATTACTCTTTCTCATTCTCTCTCTCCATTGCTCTCTCACTCTCTCTACCCTATTTTCTCTCTATCTATCTTTATCTATCTCTCTCACACATTGATAATTTATTTTTTTAAATATGTAAAGATTTGATTTAATTTTTTCTTCTTTCTCTCATATTTCTCTCTCTTTCTCTCTCTCACACACACACATTCCTTCTCCCCTTATTTCCTTATTCTTTCTCTCTATATCAACGTTATAACAACACAATTACACTAATCAGTTATACTAATTAATTATAATTACCCTATAATATATCAAACAATAAGTCATTTGTTTAAATAAACTAAACAGTTACACAAGACAATTACATGAAATTACAACACCACCCAATTTGTCATTCAATTATTTACATATATCAGAGAGTTACATTATTTAGTATCACGACATGATTACACCAATTATATACATCAAATTGGGTTTATCATTACACAAAAGACTTTATCATTATACTAAATTTGATATATATATATATATATATATATATATATATATAATTGGTGTAACGATGTGGTGATACAAAATGTTGCAACTATTTAGTTTATGTAAACAACTAAACGACAAATTGGATTGGTGTTATAATTTTGTGTAATTGTTTGGTGTAACTGTTTAATTTATTAGAATACATGAATAACTGTTTGGTGTATTATAGGACAATTATAACTGATTGATGTGACTGATTAGTATAATTGTGTTGTTGTAATGTTGATATAAAGAGAGAGAATAAGGAGGGAGAGAAATGATGATAGAAGATTGGGAGAGAGAGAAAAAAATAGGGGAGAGAGATGAAAAAATAAATCAAATCTTTACATATTTGAAAAGAAAATAAATTATCAATGGTAGATAGAGATATAAAATAGGGGAAATATGAGAAAAGTAACGGGTGGGGAAAGAGAAATGGAGATAAAATGTGGAGAGATAGTGAGAGAGTAATGGAGAGAGGGAGAGAGAGAAAGAATGAGAGAAAATAGGGGGAGAGAGAGAGATTGAGAGAATAAAAATTATGCATAATTTAAGGAAGGGTAAATAATTAAAAATTTTCAAATATCATTTGAACTTTGTACCTAATTACTAGAAGTTTTGTTAAAATTGAACTTAATAGAGTAAAATACTTATCTATACACTTTCTTTCAAATAAGTCTAAAAAAATATACCCACAAAAAAAAAGCCCATTATTATTTGATACTCTCTTTTTTTGGGCCCTAAACAACTATTTAAGTGGCCTTTTTATTGGGTCGTCCCTGATAACACTTAGGCAACATTATAGAAACATGTAGGTCTAAATTATACACACATCCTATACTTTTCAAAAAAATATTTCATTACTGCTTAATTTCAATAATTAGATTTTGTATTCTCTTATTAAGAATGTGCATTGCACGAGTTTTATGCTAGTATAATATTTGTTAATATTAGAAATTAAAACGATTCTAGTTGTAGTATGTAATTCTTTAACTAATTGTTTGTGTTTTAGACATGTGAATCAACATTCAACTTCATGAGGTGGTTGCAGGTACTACTCTCAAGTGGTTGGGATCTGTCCATGTCCAGAACGGAGTTCTTGATCCACATTTTGAGGTGCAAGCAACACTTTTAGTGTTCTCTCTCTCTCTCTCTATACATATATAGATATATTATTCTGTGATTCGATCAAGTTTTCGTTATTGATAAGTCTCATAGGTTTGATTAGCTTTTCATCGTTAACCATGATATTTAGGTGGTGAAGGAAGCTCTACTAAGAACAGTCAAAGAGACAATGGAAGAGAAATCGAGTGAAGAGATGAATGATGCTTGGTGTGAAGCCTATTGATGATGCACAAAAATGGTTTTGCACACCACCTGTCAAGTGTAGATAATAAATGCAGTGAAATTAATGAGAAAATTAAAAAAGACACGATTTCTAGTGGTTCGGTCAATTCG